TAAACATCAAAGGTTAGGTATCTTATTCCTTCCCTCCCTCTTCTCTTCCCTCATTTCTTCTTTTCCATACCCTTTTCTTCCCTCCCCCCCTTACTTCCTTCTCCCCTGCCTTCCCTCCTTTCTTTTCTCCTTTCCTCCTTTCCTTCCCCCTCCTTTCCCTCCCTCGATCCCCCCTCCTTCTCACATACCTTCCCTCCTTCCCTTCCTCTTTCCCTCTTCCTTCCTTTTCTCTTAATCTCCCTCCTTTCCTCCCTCCTTCCTTCCTTCCTTTCAACTCTCCTTCTCTCTTTCTTTCCCTCCCTCTTTCCCTCTTTACAACCCTGTTCATATAGTTTAAAATGAAATAGCATCAGCAAGAAATATGGCAATTCAGCACAATCTCCCAAGTTCATGGAAAGATGATTCTCTTGAGTTAAACAGATATTTCTCACTTCCGGTCTCATTTTGTAGCTATGTGCTTTTTTATGGGAAAGGGCAGGTCTTTGGAGAAGCCTCAAATTTCCTTAAGCCCTCTTAAAAAGGAAGCACAAAGAAGTCCTCCCATATTTCTCCCTGCCCACTGTCTCTGGGACTCTAAATAGGGTGCTGGAAATAAAGTGACACCTGTGGATTACTCATCAACCAGCAAGACTATGGTTTATTTGTTAATTATGAATATATAAGTGTTCTGTAAACACAATGTGTATGAAATCTGAGGCAACCAGTGGATATAGCTCCTGCATTCACCTGTATTTACTTTTAAACGTGACAATCTTTCTTTCCCTCATCATTGAAACAAATTGCAAAACAGGATTGCCAGATAAGAAATGGTATTTTATATCCCTGAGCACAGAGAAACAGCAGAAAGTCTGCATTATGCACTGTTTTTTTAAAAAGCACTTCTTCAGACAATGTTACAAAACTTTAATTTTTGCAATTACCTTACTATGTGTGTATACTAATTATTATAGGTAGGCCTGGGCAAAATTTTGATGATTTTTTAAAAAAAAGGAAATCTATGATCCTAAGCAGAAATCCATGAACTTAAGCAGGTATTATCTTGATTCACACCAGCTCTTGAATTGAGAAAATCCTCAAAGCAAAGTTACATGAGGGTAAGCTATAAAACAACATAAGCAATTTGCAGCTTGTGGGCAATTTGCAACCCTCAACCCTTTTCCTTTTTGAAACTCCTGGAGCACTTCTGATTACATACAAGATTATCTGTGACAGAATTGCCAAAAATAGCAGCATGGTTTTCCACTGTCATGAGATAAGCCTACAAAAATGGCCACGTATGCCTTGAAATAAGCTTGACACAATAAAAAACGCAAAGAAACTTGCAAAGTGTCTCCTGAAAGGCAAGGCTAGAGATAATAGGACAGCTGTAGCCAGGATTTTGTCCACCTCTTTTCCCATAGGTATAAGACTTCATTCCTAGACAGCAACCCTAATATGTGTAGACCTTTCTTCTAGGATTATGGATAACAACATTATCCTTCAAATCAGGCATGACTCAAATCATGCAGTCCATGCAATCTTCTAGGCAAATTTTCAGAAGTCAGTTGCCATTGCTTTCTTCTTAAGGATAAGGGAGACTGACTGGCTCACAATTGATATTTTTGCTTTTGTTTTTTCTATAAGTTTTTTATTTTTACTATATAAAGAAAGAGCAACAGTTTTAATGACTATATAAACTGTGTGTTGTCTGGTTACATTTTGAGCAATCATCATAATGTTCATTAGTAGTGATCATATGACTGTTTTCTCATAATATTAATAATTAATAATTTATACTAATTCATATTAATAATAAACATATCATTATAAGTCAAAATTAGTCCTTCTCTTAGAATTTTAAATGCTCTAACTTCTTTTTTGTTAGTTAGCCATTGATAAAACGAATCCCATATTTCAAAATATTCTGTGTCCTCTTTAATTTCAAGTGTTAGTCTATCTATTTCTTTACATTCTAGTATTTTTTAAATTATCTTCTCACTTTTCCAATGTGGTGCAAATACAATTCTAGCCACTGTTAACACATGTAGTATTAGAGTATTAGATATGTAGTCCCTTTATTATATTTTTCTGGCATGATACCCAACAGAAATATTTCTGCTATTAGATCTGGTCCAATTCTCTTGATTCTTTATAAAAACCACGTTTTAGCATCTTTCTCATATCTTGATTTTATTTGTACCTTCTAAATCCCTTGATTATTCAGTTCAGGTTTGCTTTTCAATTCTCCTTTCTCATTCAGAATATCTTATGATTTTTTCCGTTTCAACTACATTTGGATGTATCAGTGTGTCCATTGTGGAGAGCCAGACTGGTATTTTCAAATAGTGTTTTTCCTTAATTTTTGCCCATCCTAAAAACAGAGCATTTCTAATATAGTGTCCTTGGAAA